TAAAATGTACTATCAATGGTTAATGCTATCAAAATCTCATGGTAAAATGTACTTTTAGTCTTTTGCTATCAATGCTAAAATGTACTAAGTAGCTAAAAATTAGATTTCTTGCGGGGTATCCAAGAGGCACCATGTTAGCGGACATGGAGGTCAATGGAGGTTTAACCAACCTTTTTAAGGGGATATACACTGTAATGGGGATATATCCGAGGATTACAATGAGATTTAATGGGATATATACCCCACACTATGAAATTTGAGTGTGTCTGGAAATGGGATATATGGTATACCCGAAAAGTGATTGTTTAAGAGGGAAATGATGATAAACTATGGGATTTTGGGAACCTTATGTTCAGGCTAGTCCTTTTGATGGGAATTCTTTACAATTTTGGATTCCCGTTCCCCCAATGTTCTAAACCCACTGGATTCTGGATATTTCGCAACATCGTTGGTCAAATCCATGTAGTTGGGTCCAGACTCCATATTTCACATAAGGGGTTATGAATTTATGAGTGAATCTATGGTAAGAACCTCCATAAGTTGTGATATAACTAATTATAACCCCTGCAACTGTGGTGAAATGTCCCACTTGTTGGTGGGGCCTCAACCTGTTGGTGAGGAATCCGCCTGCAGATGTGAGGAACTTTGCTTTTATGCATGCAGGGGCTACTTATGTAAGTTTCCGTCTTTGGCTGCAAGAAAGTTTGAAAATCAACATCGTCTTTTCAGTCTTTTCAAAGATTTGGGGGTCAAGAAATCCTAGGAAAGGGCATGTGGCCGAGGCATGCCAATGGATTTGAGTAAGATTCGACGCGCTGTTTCATCTACAAACAGATTAAGTCATTCCTGGTGAGAGCGCCTGAAGGGAATACAACAGATTCGCCATCATGAAGATGGTGACTGGTTGGTCTGGTTGGTCTGGTTGGTGGTGACTGGAACCATGGAATTTTGTGACTGTCCAGAAACAGTTGGGAATAATTAATCATCCCAACTGACTCATGTGTTTCAGAGGGCTAGGTATACCACCAATTAGATGGTGATGTTGGTGGTTTCAAAGATTTTCAAAGTGTCCTTTCAATGTTCCATTCCCCCGTGGAAATGGTATGATGAACCTCACAAACTGATGTTCAAATTCCTCGGGAGGACTATGAAGCTCCCCGGAAGTCCGTCTATGGTAATCAGCCTGGAGAACCCAGAGAGGTTGGGGGGTTCTGGCTGCAAACATGTGGGACTTCGGCGACAAAGACGGTGGTTTAGCCCTAGAAGATACGCTCCAGTGTCGCCATTGCCGTGGCTGTGAAGTTCCCGAACTACATGAAGGTTTTTTCATGTGAATATCAACAATAAATGAAGGATTTTCCAGCAAACCATGTTTGATTATCAGAGGGTAATGCTAAACTAAGCACCTCTCTTCAATAATCATGGGTTATTTTTCGGGGTTTCTGAAGTCATGGGGTCCCCCAGTCGTCACCATGGTTGTTTCAAATCACTAGTCGTCATGAGCATCCATGACGACTGGATGATTCGGGGTGAACCCATTTTAGGAAACCTCTTTCTGAGTCATGCATTTTAGTTTCAACAAACCAATCCCCATTGCGAAGCCATTAAGCTTCATTGTTACAGTTTGTAGTTCGTGCTACTCACTATACTTACTAAACCAGATGCGCAACTTACCTGGTAGATGGTCTGGAATGTGTGTCATATCCTATCCTATTTGGGTTGAAAATCCGCATTGACAAAAATAATCCCTTCCCAAAGAAACCATGGTTTAGTACGGGATTTATACATATCTGGTGCAATTTAGGGAAGTGTTTAATATTCGGGGGATATGACTATTTTTGATAACCATTGAAACCACCAATCAGTTACCTATTATGTAGGATAAACCACCAAGTATCCAGGTGACTTTTGGGATTTTGGACATCATTTTGCCATCCAAAAACCGAGGTACGCCGAAGCGGAGGGCAGAGATCGCATGTACAACTCCAGGCCTGTTGAGGGGCCTCAGGATATGGTAAGTCGCTAAGCCCTTCCCCAAACACCATATCATACCATTTCTTGAACATGCAATATATGGTGTTTAGGAAATGGTACCTTATAATAGTGCTTCAAGATATGGTGCCGAAGGATCCTTGTCTGTCAGCCATTTTCCCAAACACTCAAACCAACAAAAACGTTAGCCTATTGCAGAAGAATGTGTGGGTTTGAGTCAAAGTGAAGAATTCTCAACTTATGCCCAGGCCAACAGGTCTTGACGTCGACCATCGGGAACGAACGAAACCTTTTACATGTTCCATCTCCAGTGTTGAACGTACGAAATGACTGGGAAACATCCCATCGCATTTCCAAAAGATGGGGCTGATCAGGTGCATATCTCGGCGAAAATGTGGGGTCTGATGCCTGACCAGTGCCCATAAAATCCCATCAAAGCCCGATGAAATCTCCATAAAATCCCATGAAATCTTCAGGAAATAGTCCACTTTGTACAGGATAGGCCCCCAAGATAGCCAAGTTGCCTTATAAGTGGTTTAACTATGGTTTATGGTAGATATAATTACATAGTTGATGGGGGTTTTAATGGTATATAAACCAACAAACATCACAACCAACTTATAATTGGGGGGCCCCATCCTGTAGCCTTCGAACCAAGCATCCGATCACCAGGAATAGCCCATTGCCTGGCAACGACTGTGGCCACAAAGACACTTGGATCACCGAGTGACGGAGTACGACGGAGTCATGGGGATCGTTTCATGAGGGGGCTCCAAAATCATCAAAACACTCTTAAAGTCAGGGGAAATCTGGGTTTTTATAGTCTGGAGATTTCATTGGGATTTACATAATGTGGATTTATAGTTGAATTTCCTCACATAGTGTGGATGGAAGAGACCCTGCAGCAGTTGGCAGATGGTAAACATCCCCTTATAATCCTTTTACTTTCAGTGTTGAATTCTGTTGCCAATAGTTTCCAACTGGTGCAAGATTTCTTCCATCCATAGTGTTACTACATGAATCCATATTATTACGGAATCCATACAACTAAGTGGAAGATACATATAATAGGAAATAATGGAACGTAACCGTATGGATCAAGAAAAGATGGTACAATTACATGGATTTTTGAGGGGTATTTCATGGGATAGAAGCAACAGTAGTGGGATTGAATGCTTATATTACTTATATTGGGAAATACCCGGCAATCAAACATGGATTGGTTTACCACATAAATCTCCAACACGTGTTTGAATAACCATCCCTGGGTCTCCTGGGTCGGTTTCCCCATGTGGCCAGCGCCAAGGTGGGCCCTCTGGATCGCCAACCTCTTGATTCACCAGACCAGGTGGGTGCTTGGCGAAAGTTCGGACTTCGCCGAGGGTCTTGTTTTTTTTAAACGGGTAGGACCGGGTAGGAGTGAAGATGGTCATCTTGAAGGGGATGTAGGGATGTTTCATGGGAAAAACTATGTGGTTACCGTCTTACCCTCCTGTAAACGAAGATAAGCTAAGATTTTGATGTGGAACAACCACCATTTGTAGATAATTTCCTGAGGTTCTCCACATCTACGTTAGTTTACCCCAGGGCATAGTGGGATATAATGGGATTTTTCATGGGGCTCTATGTGCTATACTGAGATATACTGGGATATAATGGGATATCCAACCATTTTCATGGTTGCTCCAACCCATCATAGGTGAATGTGAGTGTGGGGTGTTGGGAGCCTCTCATAACAAAGTTATTTCTCTTGTAATTGATAACAGCAACAAAAATTGGATCACACGCAGCCATTTTAATTGCTGGTTAATATCCTTGATCCATCAAACATGGGATCGTTTCACTAGAAATCCCATTCCAAGTGAAAAAAATGTTTTTTATCGTTATTATCATGCCATCTTACCATATCTTACCATTCTACGAGCAAATCAATCTGGATCGACTGGTCAATGATCATGTTCCCCGTTAAAATGCGAAAATTTGGGGTCGCACTGCATCTTCATCCGTGTCCATTCCCATTCAATAGCATTTAACTTGCAAATCTGGCACAGATACAACATTGTCAAGCTCGAGATACAACCTGCTCTCCAGATCTCAGATGTCCCTGGCTTATATGAAAAAAACATTCCCATGTATCTATTTTAGTTGGTTGAATCCCATTTTTTGTTGCTTGCCATCACCTCTTTTATTTTTTTAAACCCCATAAAATGACCCTTTAATAAGACCCCATTGTATCTACGTAGCATAATGGTCATAACCAACGAATACCACATAAAAATCACCATAAATCACCCATCTATCCAGTTTTATTGGTTGGAACATGTTGGAACCCCGTTATTTTTAGCGCCCGGTTTTTCCTGGTGAAATCCCAGTTCTTGTGTTGGTTGAGTCCCAATGTTGATTGCTTAAATCACAAAAATGGAATTCCTGATGACATTCTCCGATTGCATCGCCCATTTTCTAGGCTCAACGCCTATGTGTTACTTCATTAAAAACCCCATTATAAACTCATGAACCAGTGAGTTGTTTCCAATTATAAACGTTTTTACCTTGAATGTTTGATTGTTTGACCGCCAACGTTGGTTCCGCATTTGCTAATGAACATGATAATCTTAGCCAATTATTTGGTTCACCAATTCTTCCTGGTGAAGCTTCAATTTTTAGTGGTTACACCCCACCAATGCCCTTACCCCCTGCCTGCTTGTTGCATCCCCATGATTTTGTTGCTTAAATCCCAATTGCTGCTGGTGAGACTTTCCATTCCTACAGGATGGGGCCCCGTGTTTGATAGCGTTCCGTTACCTCAAAAAAGTGGCTGAATTCTATGGTTTATGGTAGATGTAACGAACTATACTTAATGGATGTTAATGGGCTTTACTAACAAACAAACATCTGCTAAGCGTCACTGTTAATGGGCTTTATAAACTCACAACATACTAAGAAACATTGACAAACATCACTGGGGCCCATCCATTGATTTTTACACAAAAAACTGCTGGCTCGACCAGGTCTTGGCGCCCAGTTCCAAGACCTCCTGTTTGGCCCAACTGGGCAAGTCCAGCCATGATGGCTACGCAGCCGAGGCGGCCAATTTTTCCAGAAACATGGGGAGTTAACCATGTTTCACTAATTAAAATTGGGTGGGTTTGATCAAAAATTGTTGATTTGATGTACTTGTTTACCATGAAACATGGGATTCTATCAGGGAAACTGGGGAGTCAACACAGGGAAAAATATACGATGTTTGCACCAAATTGTTGGAAGCTACTGGTCTGAAAAACGGATAGTAGCAGGACAAATGGTATTTTACGAAGAAAAATCTGTGTGGGCAGTACATGTTCCCCAAGAACCACACTGGAAAACAATGAGGGAATGATCCACAAATATAACTATCAATAATAATCCCAGCAACCCCCAGCAACCCATCCATTCCCTACGTAAAACGCTGTCAGTGAAGACCTCCCGGTTACATCCCCAGGAGAATCACCGGCGTGGCAAGTCCGACATGTATAGCACCTTGGGCGAAATTTCAGCGCCACGCGTTTCGGCTGTGTGGGTGTTGGGTGTTATGGAAATGGGGATTGACCGAAATCTGTAGTTTTTTAAAATGGCAAAAGACTGACTGATCCCAAAATAGTTCAACAATATTATAAAAAGGGGGGATTAAACCAGACGAGATGTGGATTACATGATATTACATGACTTTGATCAAATAATATGGGAGTTAGCCAACAGTGGATAAGAGTTTATGGATCTATCAGAAATGGTGGTTTGACCACCGATTCAATCATTGGCATCCTGTTAGGAAAATGAAAATAGTAATGGTATGTAGATGGGTTTATTAACACATATTAACCAGCAGCAGCCGCAGTTTGCACCTAATTATAAATGGCTGTCAATTCATGGTGATTTACGTAACAAAAATGATGGTATAGAACCAACCAGAACGGAGATATGGGATAAATGCTCCTAAAGGTCACCAAGAAATGCGGATAACATCAACTATGGATTTAATTACCAGTAGTACCGCACCAGGCGGTGGCGGAAGTTTCAAAAATGGGAAACCCATAGGAGAGATTGGTTGTTGTGAATCACGGATGGCAGAGCGAATCCACTGATGGACCGAAAGGTGGTTGGAGCTGTGTTTTTTTGAGTGGCTGCAATGGTTGCAGTGGTCACCTGGTCGGTCACCTCACCCACAACTGCTGGATGTAGTGTGGTGTAGCGCAGCTGTAGTTGTAGTTGTAGTTGTAGTGTAGTGGGGTTGTAGTTGTGGTGTAGTGTAATTAGTGTAGTTGCAGTTGCATTTGTGGTGGTGTACTGAGTGTAGTGTAATGTAATGTAATGTAATGCAATGCAATGTGGGGTAGGGTAATGTAGTGTAGTGTAATTGAGTGTAGTGTGGTGTGGTGTGGTGTAGCGTAGTGTAGTGTAATGCAATTAGTGTAGTGTAGTGTAGTGTAATGTAGTGTTGTGTAGTGGAGTGTTGTGTAGTGTAATGTAGCGTAGCGTAGTGGAATGTAGTGTAGTGTAGTTGTCGTGTAGTGTATTGGAGTGTAGTGTAGCGTAGTGGAGTGTAGTGAAGGTGTAGTTGTAGTTGTCGTGTAGTGTGGTGTAGTGGTGGTTGTAGTTGAAACGGCACAAAACCCTCACGCTTTGCTCACTTTTGACGAGGTGCACAATCCCTTGCGCCTGCCGCGCGAAGCGACATCTGAACGTCCAAAAGTGGTCCGAAACCCTGGTGTTTTTCACATTTGAACTTCGAAATGTGTTTCCACCACAACGGCGTGCACTTGTTCGACATCTCAACTTCCAAAAGTGGTCCGAACCCCTAGTGTTTTTAACATGTTTGACTTCGAAATGTGCTTCGAGCCACAACGGCGTGCACTTTTTCGACATCTCAACTTCCAAAAGTGGTCCGTACATGGTGTGTTTTGTACATTTTGACTTCGAAATGTGCTTCGCGCCACAACAGCGCGCACTTTTTCGATACAATCTGAACTTCCAAAAGTGGTCCAAACGTGAGGTGCGTTTAGCTTTTTCACTTGGAAAGGTGCTTCGCGCCACAACGGCGTGCACTTTTTCGACATCTCAACTTCCAAAAGTGGTCCGAACGTGAGGTGGTTTTAGCTTTTTCACTTGTAAATGTCCATATTGTCGGAAGTTTGACTTCTAAACTTCCTTCGAACAGAAATATCCATGAAATATCCATCAATTGTGCCATCAATAAACCAACAATCATAGATATCATAAATGTCTTCATATTTCTTCCAATCAACTATGGTGATTGATTAACAGAAATATCTTCATTTTGCCATCAATCACCAACAATCAATGTTTTCTGATAGTAATAGGGTGTATTAACCACCAACAGCCCTCATCTTTGACCATCTATTCTTGGGGTCACCGAAGTTTTCCAGGCACCATGGACTGAGTCCATACCAGCAGGTGTGCACCAGAGGATGTCCAGCCCAAGCACACCCATGACCAAGGAGCCTGGCACCACCAAGAACCAAGAGTCCAAGGCAGGGACCACCAAGAAGCCTGCCACCAAGATGAACCAAGAGTCCAAGGCAGGGACCACCAAGAAGCCTGCCACCAAGATGAACACGCGGGGATCAGCAAAGAAAGGAAAGGCAAGCAGCAAGCCAAAAAAAAGGTAAAGCAAGCCAAAAAAAAGGCAGGAAACAGGTTCGCCGTGCAGTGGCGCCGTGTCGTGAGGAGCCACTTTAAGCGACACAGGATTGCCACCGCGATTTTGCCGCGAGCCGTCGCCCAGCAAGTGCAGTTGCAGGCCACCAGTTTTATTGCCGCAGGAACCCGCACCCCCGCGGGTATCGTGGCCAGCTATCCAGATCCTGCTGATGGCCAGGCCTTGCTCTTTGTCGGGCTATCCGAGCTGCGAGAAATGCATGTGAGTTCCTTGCGCGTCCCTTCGGCTGCGAGTCAGTCAGTTAACCACTTAGAGTGTAGAGTGTGGAGTGTAGTGTAAAGTGTAGAGTGTGGAGTGTAGAGTGTGGAGTGTGGAGTGTGGAGTGGAAAGTGTAGTGTGAAGTGAGGAGTGAGGAGTGTGGAGTGTACAGTGTGGAGTGTGGAGTGTAAAGTGTGGAGTGTAAAGTGTGGAGTGAGGAGTGTAAAGTGTGGAGTGAGGAGTGTAAAGTGAAAAGCTTGGAGTGTAAAGTGAAAAGCTTGGAGTGTAAAGTGTAAACTGTGGAGTGTGGAGTGTAAAGTGTGGAGTGAGGAGTGTAAAGTGTGGAGTGAGGAGTGTAAAGTGTGGAGTGAGGAGTGTAAAGTGAAAAGCTTGGAGTGTAAAGTGAAAAGCTTGGAGTGTAAAGTGTAAACTGTGGAGTGTGGAGTGTAAAGTGTGGAGTGAGGAGTGTAAAGTGTGGAGTGAGGAGTGTAAAGTGAAAAGCTTGGAGTGTAAAGTGTAAACTGTGGAGTGTGGAGTGAGGAGTGTAAAGTGTGGAGTGAGCTGTGTAAAGTGTGGAGTGAGGAGTGTAAAGTGAAAAGCTTGGAGTGTAAAGTGTAAACTGTGGAGTGTGGAGTGTAAAGTGTGGAGTGAGGAGTGTAAAGTGTGGAGTGAGGAGTGTAAAGTGTGGAGTGTGGAGTGTAAAGTGTGGAGTGTGGAGTGTTGAGTGGAAAGTGTGGGGTGTGAAGTGTGGAGTGTAAAGTGTGGACTGAGGAGTGAGGAGTGTGTAAAGAGTGTTTGCAGTGTGCAGTTTGTAGAGTGTAAAGTGTGGAGTGTAGAGTGTGGAGTGTGGAGTGTAAAGTGTGGAGTGAGGAGTGTAAAGTGAAAAGCTTGGAGTGTAAAGTGTAAACTGTGGAGTGTAGAGTGTGGAGTGTGGAGTGTAAAGTGAGGAGTGTGGAGTGAGGAGTGTGTAAAGTGTGCAGTGTGCAGTGTAGAGTGTAAAGTGTGGAGTGTAAAGTGTGGAGTGAGGAGTGTAAAGTGTGGAGTGAGGAGTGTAAAGTGAAAAGCTTGGAGTGTAAAGTGTGGAGTGTAAAGTGTGGAGTGAGGAGTGTAAAGTGTGGAGTGGGGAGTGTAAAGTGTGGAGTGAGGAGTGTAAAGTGAAAAGCTTGGAGTGTAAAGTGTAAACTGTGGAGTGTAGAGTGTGGAGTGTGGAGTGTAAAGTGTGGAGTGAGGAGTGTAAAGTGAAAAGCTTGGAGTGTAAAGTGTAAACTGTGGAGTGTAGAGTGTGGAGTGTGGAGTGTAAAGTGAGGAGTGTGGAGTGAGGAGTGTGTAAAGTGTGCAGTGTGCAGTGTAGAGTGTAAAGTGTGGAGTGAGGAGTGTAAAGTGTGGAGTGAGGAGTGAGGAGTGAGGAGTGTAAAGTGAAAAGCTTGGAGTGTAAAGTGTGGAGTGTAAAGTGTGGAGTGTAAAGTGTGGAGTGAGGAGTGTTAAGTGTGGAGTGAGGAGTGTAAAGTGAAAAGCTTGGAGTGTAAAGTGTAAACTGTGGAGTGTAGAGTGTGGAGTGTGGAGTGTAAAGTGTGGAGTGAGGAGTGTAAAGTGTGGAGTGAGGAGTGTAAAGTGAAAAGCTTGGAGTGTAAAGTGTAAACTGTGGAGTGTGGAGTGTGGAGTGTAAAGTGAGGAGTGTGGAGTGAGGAGTGTGTAAAGTGTGCAGTGTGCAGTGTAGAGTGTAAAGTGTGGAGTGAGGAGTGTAAAGTGTGGAGTGAGGAGTGAGGAGTGAGGAGTGTAAAGTGAAAAGCTTGGAGTGTAAAGTGTGGAGTGTAAAGTGTGGAGTGTAAAGTGTGGAGTGAGGAGTGTTAAGTGTGGAGTGAGGAGTGTAAAGTGAAAAGCTTGGAGTGTAAAGTGTAAACTGTGGAGTGTAGAGTGTGGAGTGTGGAGTGTAAAGTGTGGAGTGAGGAGTGTAAAGTGTGGAGTGAGGAGTGTAAAGTGAAAAGCTTGGAGTGTAAAGTGTAAACTGTGGAGTGTGGAGTGTGGAGTGTAAAGTGAGGAGTGTGGAGTGAGGAGTGTGTAAAGTGTGCAGTGTGCAGTGTAGAGTGTAAAGTGTACAGTGTAGAGTGTGGAGTGTGGAGTTGTCGAGGGACGCGAAGGGGGCGGGCGGCACAGCGAGCGGTGGGGGTGGCACGGGGACAAGCCCGCGACCTGAGCTCTGGAGACAATGGAGTACGCCGGGCCACAGGAGAGTGGCTGTCCAGCGCAATGGCTGTTCTTTCTTATAGGACTTGCCACTACGTCTTCAAAAAGAATCTGCAAGAAATGATACATAGATGATCATAGATGGGCGATTGATTTTGCTTAAGTGGTGAGTAAGTGGTTTGCACATTTTATCCATGGCAGACCCAGTTACAAGGTGTCATTTGCCAGTGAACCAAGCGAACCGACTTATAAGTACATTGATGACATCAGTCACCACTGGAGCGTTCGTTCCTTGCCAATTGTGTCTACACGCAGTTCTACAATAACAGGTACTAGTAGATTATGATTAGGATTGAAAATCTGATCCCAGATGATAGAATATATATATATAGTCATCATTAGTCATCAAATATAGATCTCTATCTCCAGTTGTGCTGAATTTTCCTTCGAAAAAGGTCACTACAAGGTGGTGTTCTCCACTTGTGGTTGTTTGTAAATCCACTTAACTAGTTCAAAATATCTACCACTATCTACCATAAGCCCAACATCTTCACCAATTTAGCTACCATTTGTGGAAAATTCCAGCATTCGTTCTGAGAATAATCAGCCTATAACTATAACCCGCTTATATCTAGGATCTATCCCAGTTTAATGAGGTATTGTATTCTCTGGTTTTTTAACGCAGACCCTGAAAATAACCAAATTTTCGTGGAAACTCATCTTCCAACCTCTGACTGCTGGCAGGGTCTAAGTTAACTTGGGGAGAGTTATTTATTTACAATACCCGATAAGATTGAATTATTCCCCACCTGCCAGGTGAGGGTTGTTAGATTTTATCAGAGTTGTTCTCCTCCTCCTCCTCGGCTAGCTGTCCTCCTCCTCGTCCTCGTCCTCCTCCTCCTCCTCCTCCTCTAGTTTCTCCTCGACCATGTCTGCATCAACTTCCACCTCCACTTCCGCCTTGCCAACTCTTCGCCAAGCTCTTTGCCAACTCTCTTCGCCAAGCTCTTTGCCAACTTCCCAGCTCAGTGTGCACCGCTGGACCTCACCCTGGGACCTTCCCAGCTCAGTGTGCACCGCTGGACCTCAACCTGGGAGCTGCCCAGCTCAGTGTGCACCGCTGGACCTCAACCAGGGACCTTCCCAGCTCAGTGTGCACCGCTGGACCTCAACCTGGGACCTTCCCAGCTCAGTGTGCACCGCTGGACCTCAACGGCCAGATAGAATGCCAGAAGATATGCCAGGTAGAATGTCAGGTAGAGTGCCAGAAGATATGCCAGATAAAATGCCATGAGATATGCCAGATAGAATGCCAGAAGATATGCCAGATAGAATGCTAGAAGATATGCCAGATAGAATGCCAGAAGGTATGCCAGATAGAATGCCAGATAAAATGTCAGATAGAATGCCAGAAGATATGCCAGATAAAGTGTCGGAATGTTTGCCAGATAGAATGCCAGAAGATTTGCCAGATGATATGCCAGAAGATATGCCAGATAGAATGCCAGAAGATATGCCAGAACATATGCTAGAAGATATGCCAGGTAGAATGCCAGAAGATATTTCAGATAGAATGCCAGAAGATATGTCCGATAGAACGCCAGATAGAATGTCAGATAGAATGCCAGAAGATATGCCAGAACATATTGCAGACGATATGCCAGGTAGAATGCCAGAAGATATGCCAGAAGATGTGCCAGATAAAATGCCAGAAGATATGTCAGATAGAATGCCAGAAGATTTGCCAGTAACAAAAATGTCATGGTGGGGATAACTCGAAGTAAAGTTATTTATTTACAATACCCGATAAGATTGAATATGATTGAATAATGATAATTAAGAACTCATTATGGAATTATGGTGAGTAGCAGTATAACTCCCATTGGCTAATCATTGGCTACTAACTCAATATAACTCATTATGATTGACGAATGACAGAGTTTTTTTCGGATCATGTCGGAGGCAAGTGGACTGCGCCCCACCATAGATCCTGTCCTGGGCATCCTTGGCTGAGGCGCACATTTGACCAACGCCTATCGACCAAAGGTTACCAATGTCTTGGAAGAGAATCCTGAGGCTGGTCTGTGGTGATGAATGTGTCACAGCTTGCGTTCAAACCCGCATTTTGTAGAGGATGCAGCATGGCGTAGCTATGAAAAATTGTAATTTTCCCATAGCTATGTTAGTTTACTGCAGGGTATAAGATTTTGGAATCCCATCTATTATGGGTCTGGAAAGTCATGGTCTAACAGCTGGATGATTTGGGGCCCCATTTAGGACACCTCCATATTTTGGAATCCCATCTTATCGAACTATAGAGATATCCACCATAAATCCAAGCATAATCCAAGCAATTCTAGTGGTAAAACAACTTGTCAATTTAGGATCTGACAGGTTGCAACTTTGATTTGGGGGGCCTACAACTTAGGTCTGATATATGGAGTTATTTGTATCATATACCAATTTGGATCTGTTTGGCCTATTTGGGGGGGCCTGACATGGCGGCCAGTTCTTTGGATAAATGTTCATGTCATGTGCTTTTCCTTAGAAGGGTCCTGGCCGCGCTACTTGGAGGATCATCCCAGTAACTTTGGATAACCCTAGTTATCATCCAACTACATATGGGATAGCCTCACTGAATGGGGACTGACTTACTCCGGTTATAAATAATAGGATGATCCTCCACGTACAGGAACTAAAAATGGGCCGTGTTCAGGTCGTCTGACCATGTCTGACCTATCGCCCCATCATAAAGGTTCAGTTGTTTCCCAATATCTGTTTCAACTACAGCTGATATTCGTACATATTTCTACATGGTTTTATCCCATATGTTGATATCCCATATGTTGTATTCACGTATTCCCCATCGGTGGGCTGATGCTCGCAAGTTCATTTTTCAACCACATGTCCGGTGATGATCAGCACCTTAAATCTCTGGTGTTCAGTTTGGTACCCTCTGTCAATTTAACATGGAAAATCAGCAAACTGTTTCTATGGATTCATCATCATCCAATTGCCCGACTGGGGGCTTCCACTTCCAGTGTGAGTCATTACCGGTACGACTGGCGGTGGACTGGGGATACCAATGGGACCCGCCACCAGTTGGGAAATGCCGAAAAAAAACATATGGTGATTTCTGGTTGACCCACGACTCTTAGTGGAAATGCAATGACTGCAGGTATATCAACTATATATTACCTGGTCGGTGGTTTGGAACATGAATTTATTCTTTCCATATATTGGGAAGAATAGTCCCAACTGACCGACTCATATTTTCAGAGGGGTTGAAACCACCAACCAGACTATATATTACCATCATACCATCTGTTGTGCCATACCACCAGTTAGTTCAAGTACCAAAAAATCCTACCTCGGCTGGCAACCTCCACAGGCCTCCTGGGTGAAGCGAAAAACCGCCGTGGTATCGCCCCAGAAGGGAGCTTGGACCAAAGTGTCCCCACCCAAGCAGGACGGGTTTCAGGGGCTTCGATGGGCGAATTCTGGTGGATGATTGGTATTATTTCAATGGGAATGTAGTTACATATAGTTACCTGGTTGGTGGTTTGGAACATGAATTTTATGTTCCATAATATTAATATATGGGATAATCGTTCCCATTGACTTTCATATTTTTCAAGATGGTTAAAACCACCAACCAGGAATGATAGTTACAATAGGGGAGATGTTAATTTTATAATAATGATTCATTTATAAATGGGGATATAATTGATAGATCTGTCGTTTTGACCTTCCAGTAAACCAACATAGAGACTGAAAATGATAAGTTTTTAGGGGAGGCTAATCTTCAAATCAATCGTCAGGGTGTATGTTTATTTGAAATAAATAGTGGGAATTCATCAGCGATTATATTGTTTTTTAAATGTAACTATCAAAGATTCGGGGATGTGATTGAGAAATTATGGTTGGTTGATGATTTTTTTGTAAGTTTTTGTTTGTTCTATGATGGGGATGGTCAGAATCCTAGGAAATCCGATCTTGACCAAGCAAAGTCATTGTGTCTTATTCTAAACATTTCTGAACACAATTTTGATTGGACAATGTCAAGCCCGGATGAGGCTAAACCCTGGTTGATTCAGAATTTTGGCTAAAATGTCTCCCCAAGAACCAGTTACATTGTCAAGTTGTGTGTTTGTTTAAAAAAAAGGATGAGGGGAGCAACCCTCCTGATAATTTGGTGATGTTCACAAACAGATGGTTTGTAAATCTTGGAATTGGGTCCAACATCTTGAACGGATCAATATGTGTTATGTTTATATCCGTTTTGGGTCACAGGTGGACAAGGGGATCGCATGGGGTCTATCCCCCATTAAAAATTTCACCCCCCCACCCACACCTGTGGGTAACCTTGGTTACCACTTTGAATCCGTGGATTCACAACGGCCTTGGCCACCATGAGCACTTGGCTCATTAGCTTTGCTGTCCCAACTTCATTTTTCTGATTTTCCTTACAGGTGCAGATGTTCAATGGCACTGCCGTGACCACGCTACTTGTTGAGCTCACGCTGATTGCGCGCCAATGGATTGTTACTTCAGACGGTCGCATTGATCTTGACCATTTTGCTCAATTGGAGATTATTTGCAATGTTTTTCATATGATGCTTTCTGTGTGTGGGCCTTCCACACATTTACAACCGGCACTGTGGGTTTGGAAAGCTGCCAACACTACCGTCAGCACCATTGAAATGGAGTTCTTTCGCTCCACTGAAACCCCACAGTTATTTGACCATGAAGGGGCACCGCGATCTTTAGTTGCTCTGACACCAAAGACATCACAGTCGCGGCAATGCGGATGTTTCGAATCTTGGTAGCTGGGAGAACCACTCTCCAGGGAATAGCCTCAGATCAACGGACTTTCTCGGGACCATCACGGCTTCACGGCTAGCCGACCTACAGCTGAAATCAAGGGCTACATGTCATGATATCAACGACTGTACTGGGGGGGCTATATATAGTTATTGATGGGGTGTTTATAGTTACATTCAACGGATCGTGATGAAACATGATGGGATATAAAACCAAACATTATATCGGGATAGAAAGCGGTTCAGTTGGCAGTTATTGGAATATCATTGTCAGAATCAGGGGTTAATACTTTCAAATGATAGGAAAATTGTTCAGTCATGTAGCTTTTGATATATCAGAACCACGTATCTGGGAAAACGACCCAGCTAAAGTTAGTGATGGTTTTGTCTGAAAATGCGGCATCAAATGTCCCATATAAATTGTCATTTTGTGGTATACCAATGCGACACTCTAACTGTGGTTTTCGGAACGAATAGCCTCCGGTATGTTTGACATAGCTAGAAATCCCCCAAGAAGCATCTAAAAAAAAATGGAGGTGTTTTAATGGGAAAATCAACTCTGGATGGGGGATCAAACACTTTCCAACATTGCAGCTTAATGAACGAAGAAGGATCGCGCTGGCGCAGAAATGGGTCACTTCTGCAATGCTTGTGACAGGAGAAAGTGCCTCAATATCAAGACACACTACGCAACTTGGGCTATCGTCTCTGGGTGAACATAGTCTTGACTGAAAATCGGATGCTCAAACCCCCATGGTCATTATTGACAGCGTATCTTTGTTCATTATTTCTGGTACATCACCATTTTTGTGACCAGAATTCCAAAATATGTCCACTTACATCTGGTCAGGTCACCATATTTGGCCAATACATCATAATTCTTCTTTGGAAAATCATAATTTTCTCCATAAGAATCAACACTGCCATTTCATGGCTATCCCCTGATTTTCAGAGATGCCCCTTACACATACTTGTTGATTATAGATCCCAGAAGATCTCGATAGGCAAAGTAAAAACGAAGGAAAGCACCGGAAGAGCAAGACCGTCAAGGAAGAGCCCAATCAACAGCCACCACAGCTGGCCAAGGCTCTCAGCCTGATGGCTCGTCTGGTGATCCGACAGGATCAGGAGATTCAATCCGACGGGAGGATTCCTTCCTGCTCTATTTCAACAACAAAGAACCCAGCGGCTCTGCTCAGCTGAAGGTGCTGGTTGCTGGGTTGCAGGATTCTTCTAGAGCCTCCCAGCGGCTCCCTTCGATGCCTGACGGCTGCCGAGAAGTGGCATGCTTGGGCTTCACCCCAAGTCACCGTGGGTTCGCGTCAGAAGCTGATCCTGGTTCTCCTGGAACTTCGCACCCGAGCTGGGCTCTGCGGACGCACAGTCCCCTCCAAAATCCACCTATTTATAGATGATTTTTCGGGGATTTCCCCGCTTGCCATGTTTGACCAGAGGGGATTTCCACTCTGTCCCCGTATATGGTTGCTTAAACCATCTTAAAGCCCTATCGAAATTCCCAGTAAAACCTGTCCATGCTGGTAAAATCCCCTAAGAGATTCACGAGAGCCACGATTCGCACACAGGCGCCATATGTTTGGTTGCTTAAGACCCCTACAAAAAAGAAACCAACATGTCTCTACATTTGACTCTTCGGTCTGTGTTGCAATGTGCTACCCCTCATTTCATTGTGACGATCTTTGCAGGAAAATCTGCAGCATGGGTTGTCCCAATTTGGAATCACTGGAATGATGGTTTCCTGTAAATCTTTCCCTACCAGTTCAATGGGCATCGAAAATATCCTTGTGATTCATGGGGATGCCAGCCCGACAAACCCCCGAACTTCATCACTTAGATGTAGTGTCGAAAATTTCGAAAAAAGGTAAGTTGAGAACATACTTACTTTTACTTTCTTTTGGGCTGGTTCGTGGTTTTAAAGATTTACTATGCTCCATCCTAGCAATGGGATAATGATCCAAGTTGACGAACATATTCTTGGGATGGGTTGAAGCCACCAGTAGGCAGATGATATCCACAAAGGGGAAAACACATAGATAAGTTTACCTCTTGATCTACCCCATTTTTGGGAAATCACCATTTTAATGGATGGAACATGGAAAATCCACTATAAATGGAAGATGAAAAATTATATAGCAATATGTTCCCATATTTTCCCACTTTGTGTATTTGGAGCAACCCAGTTGTATAGGAAACCTGGGCCCGCAGAAGTGTGCCAGAAATCGATGGCTCTGAGTAGCAAAACCCCTGATTCCTATGGCTACATCAAATCGCCTGCCCCAAAAACTACCCTCTGGTAAACGAACAGTTTGCTGTTGAAAATTGCCATAGAAATAGTGGATTTACCCATTAAAAATGGTGATGTTCCATAGTTGCTTGTATGTTTACCAGAGGGTATTAATTTTGAGCACTGAATACCCCAATTTGTTGGTTCATCAGCTATATCTTCATCAGCTTCTGAAACCATATCCGCCATATCCCTGGTTATTGATAACTGTTTTGCTGATAAAACACATGTTCAACCTACCAAGATGATTTGTTTAACCCCATTGGTTGGTTGGTCTATGTTTCTTGGAAGTTGATATGTTGGTCAACTTTGGTTTGTGATGTTCCCGGGGATTTAATCCGCTTCATGGGGATCTTCCTGCTGAAAAATCCAACCATGACACGGTAGTTGTATCCCCATGACACAATCTTTGCTTCCCATATTGTTCAATATTGTTGGCTACAAATATGACATCTGGTTGGTGGTTTGGAACATTTTTTATGTTCCCCAATAGTTGGGATGATGATGATCCAATCTGACTAATATTTTTCAGGGGGGTTGAAACCACCAACTAGACATAGTTCAACAAGTATTGACCAGTGTTATTCCGAAAAAAATGTATGTTTGGCTTGGTTAAAACCTCATGTTTTCATGGCTTACAAAGTTTGTGAAGTTATATTCCCATTATATTCCTGTATGTTTGCTGGTTGGGTAGAATCCCAAGGATAACCGAAAATGATATGTTGGTTGCATCCCACCTGCTCCCTTATGAATTTTGACAAGTTTACATGTAACTTATAATTAGGCATAGGTGATAAACCCCCATTTTAAGTCACAAAACCTCCATGTTTTGATAACCGCCCCCCCCAATTCTGATGGTTAACTCCAATGTGTTGTCAAGTTAAAACTGATCATTAAAACTTATCATATTAATGTTGATTCTATGAGATCCCCATGTGTTTTCTTCTCGCATCCCACCAGTCGCTGCACTGGTATATTCGCAAAAAAAACTATTGTTGATGGATCAAGACAAAATATAATTAATTTCTATATTGCCATGAAATATTCCCATTTCTTAGTTAAACTGCGATTAGTCTAATACTGGTAGTTGTACCCCTATGACATTCCCATGTTTGTTCTTGCTGCTGCCTTGTTGGCTACAAAGATTACGTAGATCAACTATTGACCAGCTTTATTCCCGTGAAAAAATCCTGTTTTCGTCTTCAATATCCCCAAGACAACTCTTGAAGCTGCTCCATGATGTGCCCCCTAACTTACACCACTATTACCCCCATCATATACCCATCCCATCCAAAACCGATCAAAAATTGGTGAACCACATTCCCACTTGGGTTGTATTATCTTTCTTAGCAACTGGTTTCCAGGCCTGATTATGAAGTCCCCATTTCGTGGCTTATCCGATCAATGGCTTCGAACTAACTATGGGGGGTCCTAGCCAGTTACTAAGTGACATGATCCTCCAAATATGCCCATCATATATCCCACTATAACAAATATTGTATATAAATAATTGTAATATGTATATATTATATATATATAGATATACAATGATAGAAGTATATATATATATATGCTCACCCCCCAGGACCTACCTTTTTTCTATTTCATGGACCGTTTCATTGCAAGGTCAACTATCTGCTATCTGCTATCTGCCGAAAAAAACACAAACACAAAAAAAATGCATTGGAGAGCCTTCTCCCCTCCCCCCATCCCCAAGTCGGTCTCCCAAAACTTTGGTTTGTTTGGTTGTTTTTTGTTTTTTTTTGTGTTCGCTCTTTTTTTTTCTTGGTACAAGTACCCCGCCCCTTCCAAAACCCAACGCAAAACAAGTCATCCAAAATGTTTGTATGTTGATTCTTTCTGGTGTGGGGGAGAGGTGGTGAGCTAACAATGAAGCTGGTGGTCGCAGGTTTAATCCAAATTTATCCAAGCCAAATCTGATTCATCTGGCCTCTAAGGCATCATGTGTCTATCAAATGCATCCTTCACAAACCATAATCAAAAAAGTATTGTATGCTAAACATATGCAGGTAGTCCTTGGGGATGTGCAATTTTCCTTTTAGGTATGAGGCCTTTGGGAATGTACAATTCTCTTTGTGGTGAGTGAAGCCTGTCCTTCAAATAAATGGTGTTCCTGTCCAAATAGAGGGCAGCTGGGTTTCTTTGAAAGGAGTGTTGCATATGTTCAAAGAAATGGTGTTACCTTCGAACATAAAGGACAGCTGGGCTTCTTTGAGAAGAGTACTACACCTTTAAAGGATACACTGCATATTCTGAAACAATATTGTTTCTGTTGTTTAACAAGGTTGCAGCTTTAGGTTAAGTATTCAATCTTTGAAGAAAACAGCATTTGTTGGATGGAATGTTACCATGATACAGAAAGAAAACAGGAATGCCGCACCTTAAAACACACTACACATTGTAGAGAACTATTTTTTCAAAAAAAGGAGCCCAACCTTCACAAGGGGATTTCTTCCTGAAAAAAAATGTGCTGGCTCAAACGCAACCCATCAGCTTTTTGAGAATTTATGAGTTTTATTCCTGTATCCTTTGGAAATTTAGCAGGGCTATTTGGTCATATTGTGATGTGATGTTCACAAAGAGGAAACCTGATCCAGAGAAAAAAACACTTTCATGTGCAAAATGGATTACTTCATAACAATGGTCGATATAGGTTTCAAAATGTTGCCAAATCCAAGAAGAAAACACACCTTGGAAAGCAAAATACATCCAGTAGAATTCTTCGACAGACAATGCAAGATTGCAGTGGGGAAGTTCAAGTCATGTAGTTCCCAGGCAGAATATTGATCATTTCTTTTGTGTGGCAAAATTCATGTACAGCTAGAAATATATTGGTTTGAAGTCTGGGAAGGCACTATTCTAGTGTTTCCATGTGATTGTGTTGCAGTACTACATCCCAATGAAAGAAGTGAACCATTTTTTGAACAACATACCCTAATTCACCCCAATTCATCTACAAAGGCTACCTTACTTTGACGGGAAAGGCAACCTTGGAGTCCTAGGATGTGGAGTATAACCAGGTGGCAATTGAGGAACTGCAAGAAAACAAGAGTTAAGCGGTACCGTACTTCTGTGGTAGTCTGTAAATCACACAAAAAGCTGGACAATAAAAGAATTGTTTTTTTACTGCAAATACCACAAAAAAACTCAAGGTAGGCCCTGGTGGGGGGGTCCTAACCAGTTACTATACATACATAATTATATATATATTATATTTGTATACATATATATATATATAAGGATATATATATAAGGATATATATATATATAAGGATATATATATATATTCCCATGTTTTAGCCCAATAGACGGTTGGTGAAGTGGTCTCCAAGGCACCTTACACCGCACCTCCTTGGAGCCCCAGCCCGACGCCGCCGTGAAGCGCGGCGAGCACCGCAAGGCGCCGCTGCAGCGCTTCGCAGCGGCGACGCCAGAGACGCCGGCCACGGACGCGTTGGAAACGCCCGCGGCGGCTGAGGATCTGAGCCACTAAAACATGTTCCAAACCACCAACCAGAAGTTGGATGGGATTTAATGGGATTTGATGGAATTTAACATCTGGTTGTTTGACATAGCCATGCTATATATGGCCCATAGAAATAGATTGTTTATCTATTAACAATGATGATTTTCCATGGCTATGTTACATAATCAGATGGTACATGAAATGGGGATGATATTACCTGGTTTCATGGGGATTACCTGGTTGGGATTAGAGTAGACCATCATGGCATGGTGTTTGAAGGAAAACTGAGAAAAAAGTGGGGAAAATTAAGTTTTTGTTCGGGAAAACTAAGAAAATGTGAGACAAAAGTTGGGGGAACTCAGAAAATTGAGAGGAAAAAGAAGAAATAAGTCGGAACAAAATGGAGAGAACTGGTTCAAATTCTGGAACATGAAGGGCCCTGCAAAGATTTAGGATGATTGATGTGTGAAAATCAGCTCATGTTTTGGATGCTAGACGTACAACAGAGTCGCGCTATTGTCAGCTAGAATAGAGATGTTCTGTCGGTGCAAGCCCGTATGTGGATTTTTTTTGAGTAAACAGGATAACCAGAAGTACAAATTTGTGATGTCACGCGTAAGAATGGCGAGATATCCCCCAATATCAGCAAGTGTGTCTAAACATGGTTGAGAGTCCCTCAAAGCGATGATGAGTGGGGGGGCACGGCTTCAGAATTATCCTCGCACTGAGTCTCCCACAGCGCTTGAAGCGAACTGCGTGGAGCAAGTTGGGAATTGATCTCATCGACCTACAGTGTAGTGTTACAGGCTAATCGGCTAACCCCAACCAGTAAATGCCATGTTAATCTTCATCAACCATAGTCGGATAGTGTAGTACTGAAAAGATTTTAATCGTGAGCCAGTTTGGTGAAGATGTATATTATATACATCATTATACATCTATATATATATATATACTAACTAACCAGCTTCTTTTTGCAGGGTATCCATCATTGGCCATGTAATGAATTATTACTTGCTCCGTGGCATCCTAGTCCAATGCTTCAGGACGGAGGCTACAGGAGTTTTTCCCTGCTGTGTCATGATGAAATCTAGCCATGGAAAATGGCCCATAGAAATAGATGGTTTACCTATTAAAAATGGTGATTTTCCATGGCTATGTTAAATAACCAGATGGAAACTGTAATATATTCATGTGATGGATAAGTCACTAGATATCATCCCAGTGAAATCGAGCAGCCCGATCTCCAATAATTGTTGAGCAGTTCCACCCTTGGTATGCCTGGTTCAGTGGATAAACTCCCCCAAGTATTCGTCAAAAAAATTGCCACATCCAACCGGAAAATCATAAAATCATCTTCCAAGCAGAATTTGTTGGGGCTTCCATGTTGAAATTCGAAGTGTTATTTCATGTTATTTCCAGAAGTTGGGCTGTGATTCAGTGATGAGATCGAACCATGTACCTTTTGAAAAGGCACCATCGAAATGCTGGAGTCTCACCGAAAGCAAAACGCGGTGATTGCTTGGTCCAAAAGGATGAATGGAAAAAAAACGGTTGCGCTGGGACCCAAAAACCATTCGTAGGGTATCGATATGTCATGGGAATATCATGGAATATGATCATGTGGATATAACAAACGATATGGGATTTGGATGGATTTGGGATGATATATATATATATATCGATAAATTATAACAAGCTCCAGTGGCAACGTCGCTAGAAATGAATAGGAACGATTCAGTTTTGTGATTGTAAGTTTCCAGAAAATTGATGAATCGCGAATTCTTGGGAGAAGCAATGATAGAAATATTGAACCAAATAGAATACATCAAATCCTCAGTAGGGAAATGCCCATGTCCAAGAGGGGATATCATGCATGTTGATGAGAGAAAAATATGTGAATTTTCCCGGTTTTGTCTCTACATGTGAGAATGTGATATGATTGCATATTACGCACAAATCATGATAATGATAATATGTTCATGTAATTTTACTCAGTTTAAACGTGGTTAAAACCCACCTACGGAAGACCCCTTTTGGCATCAAAAATTACATGTGTATGTGTGTGTGTGTTCGGCTAAGCCTCCCATTCGGCTCATGTTTGCTGATTAAATGCCCCTTGTAGTTCCTGCGGTTTACTCCCTGCAGTTGGGACTGGTTGAGATATGGCACGAGATGGCATGTGTCGCGAGTGTCGGCAAAAATTGCATGCCCGTTTGCATCAAAGATATCCTACAAAAAAGCCATTCCTATCCCATCCTCCCATCCTGAAGTCCTATGAGTTCACCCTTTGATCCAGCTGCTAGTGCTGCAGGGATAGCAACCCCCAAAAAATAGAAAAGTGGGAAAGCTATAGAAAGCTGGAAATATGAAGGATATATATATATATATGGATATATAATCTATAACATCCTGGAAACACTGTTCTAGTTGAATATCATCTAGTTAATTCACATCCTGCAAACACTTTTCGACATCTCCTTGGGGGGTGAATTCACATAGCTTTACTCATTTTCGGGGCGAAATTTGGATCCCTAAATTTTCGATTTGATTTGGGTCTGTCGAAAAATGGCGAAGATAATTGTCGAAACGGTGGGATGTTGAGGTACACTTTGTTGAGGCCTTTGCAAAAGTTACCATGCATAGTGACAAGATGTTACAAGATGCATCATCATCATCATCATCATCATCATTGTTCCATCAAATTCCAATACCCTCTGGTTATTTAACGTAGCCATGGAAAATCACCATTTTTACAAGGTGAATCATCATGAATCATCCATAAATGGGCCATGGTCCATAACTATGTTGAATAACCAGATGTTAAATTCCATCAAATCCCACTAAATTCCATCCAACTTCTGGTTGGTGGTTTGGAACATGTTTTTTCCATATGTTGGGAATTTCATCATCCCAACTGACGAAGTCCATCATTTTTCAGAGGGGTAGGGCTCAACCACCAACCAGGTGACTTTTCACAAGTAGGGCTTCATCATCATCATCATCATCATCAAATGTTCCATCAACTTCCAATAAATTCCATCAGATCCCATGAAATCCCATCCAACTTCTGGCTGGTGCTTTGGGATTTCATCGGTGTTTAATGGGATATACCAATTATAGTGAGTCACAACAATGGATTATAGTGGATTATAATAGAACTTAGTTTTGAATATATAGACCACTATAATCACTATAATATATCAAGACTGATATAGTGGATTATCTTGATCAATAGATTCAAGATTGATCTCCTGCAGCACTTTGGACCGCACCACGCCGCCTCTGGGGCCGTGCTGCGGCGCTGGGCCGCTGGGCCACGCGCCATGCCTGGTGCGGTGCGGGGACCCGAATTTTCAGCGTCTATAAATGGGGGAAAATAATTGTTTAATAATGGTTATGCATGGTGGATATGGGTTATTAATGGTTAAGAATTGTTATTAATTGTTATTTATGGTTATTAATGGTTATTAACGACTATTAATGGTTGTTAATGGTTGGTCATTGGCTATTAACGGTGATTAATGGTTATAACTATAGGAAATGATCCTCCATAAGTTGAGATGTGGGACCCCTACAAATATTATGGTGAACTGTAACCCACTTATTAGATCTTATTTGTGGAACTGCACCCCCAACTTTCACCGCGAAATATCTGCAATTTATGGATGTTTATTTTCCCAACCATAGGTTTTGACCCATGACCATGTGTTTTGACATGTGTTACAATTCATGGTGGGTTTAGGATGGGGATTAGCTCACCAAGCAGCTATATCAATCATGCTGAGATTTACCATCCAAGGCTTGATCTGGATCATACTAAACATGGCAAACTCTGGGTGATGTCCTGGGCTGCTGATGTGCTGCTCAAAGTTCCGAAAAAAATCAGCGGGACACCACCAAGAAGACTCATCATGGAGTTCAATCAACGAAAATGGACATGTCGACCTCCGTAAATGAGGAGCTGAAACTGCAAAACGGTGGAATTTAATCAATGAAAATTGGGATCTAACAGCAAAGTCAGGTGCTTCAAACCAGTACTAGGATTTTTACTAATTCAAAGTGCGGCTGCGAACCAAGAGACTTGTCGCTGCACAACTCCAAAAATGTGTGAAGCAGCAGCTTGCGGTTGAGTGGCTGTTCAATTTCGTCTTCCCTGAACCGTGTGTGTTCTGAAAACAGTTCCAAATTTGGGCCAGAGTAGATATGATTCCAGGAAGCAGAGCCAAACGCCGTTACTATGACTGGAAGGATTGTGAAAGGCTTGAAAGCCATGACGATCCCCACTTCTGTGAGACGAGCGGATTGTCAACAACGTTGTCACGGCAGCTACGTATGTGAACTTGTCAGATTTCAAGCCCAACACAGCCATGGACAATGTCCTCAAGTTGGTCTAGCTGTGCAGGTAGTTGGCCCGCATCCAGCCAAGAATGCATGTAACATGATAAATCAATGATATAACGATGGTTCCAATGACATGAAATTTGGAACCTTTTTTTTAGAGTGGGTTTGAAGACGGAAATGACGGATGATGATCTGAAATGACTGATATATTTTTGAGTGGGTACTGGTTTTTTCAGAACCAGTCAGATTGCCATTTTTAATCGTCCAGGAGCCATGATAGCGCCACAAGTGGCGTCACACCCTTCGGTGGCAGTCTGAGACTGAGGAATGTCATGTTGGTGGTCAGGAGAATAGTGGAATGGTTGGGACGAATGGTAGCAATTTATGGATGTTCATACCCCCCAAGTATCATCATAGTTCATGGGTTTATAACATGTTTATAACGGGATATAGTGGGATATAATGGGAGATATGGATAAGATAATCTGGATGGATTAGAATGACTTCATTCCTCACTGGAATGATGGGAATGTCACGGGGGGTTAATCAACTATCATGGGTTAATCACTGGGGATATGGGATATGTGGATACATTCAAGGTTGCCCATATGTGCCATGATCAACAGTTGGATTATATATATATACCCAGTTGGAATGTACATATGTATTTTATTATATGTATATATACCCAGTCCTTGGACTGGTCATTAATTAATACATTAAGTTCAGGAATGAGGTAGGATGACCATCACCCATGAACCATGCAACTTGATCATTCCACACATAGCCCCAACAAGAGAGGTTCAACTGAGTAACGAAACATTAGATAAAAACCTGCCCAAGCGCAACTGATTACCATTTGGTTATTTAACAGTTCGCCATGGAAAATCACCATGTTTAATAGGTAAACCATCTATTTCTATGGGCCATCAATACCATGGCAAACTGTTAGTCATAACCAGAGGGTAAGTCATTTCTGGGAATCAACGATGGCAAACACAGACAGTTGATCAGGATTTCATCCGTAGATTTGGAACAGGAAAAAAAGGATGTTCTTCGATATGGCTACAGCGGCTGGGCCGGTACAGGTCAATGTCATGCTGCAGAAATGTAACCAGGGATCAAAAATCATTCGAGGATCCTCAAACAGATAGATATCTTATAGATATCAGTTCCCCTACCACTTTGAAGAAGATTTCCCAGAATACCTTGGACAAAATTGTTTGGTACAACTTAATCTGTGGACATTTGCATGGGGGTATAGTGGGGGGAGGCCCAGACCAACCAGAGCGGGACACATACCAGTTGCATACCAAACAGTTAGAGAAAATAGGATTTTTTTTTGCGTGGTATGCAAGATTGACCATGTGGGTATGGGTCAAAATTAAAGACCTTGGGGACCACAGATTTAAACATGTGTATGTGTATGTCTATATGGTTAGTATTGACCGCCCAATTATTGGGGTACCTAATTTTGACCCATACCCAAGTGTTCCCATGTTTCACCTGTTCATTAGTGGTTGATCGGCCTACACTGAACCGTCACAGCCCTCGCCCCTGAGGCTGACGTCGCTGTGCCCCGCGCTGTCGCGCGAACTGCCGGTGCTTCGGGTGCCACAGGGTGCCAGCCTAGATTTAAGAGCCTCGACTGCGAGTTTGGCACCAGAAATAGATGGGACATAGGATCTGATGCAGCACTGAACTGGCTTGAAACCCATTAAGATTATCAATTTTGTTAAATGTTTGTTCATGATAACCCATTGAAGACACCATTCACGCTACCACAGATGTCCTTTCCCAGTGATTGGTGAAACAAGAGAGGTAAGCCCCTGTTCAAAACCATTCTGAGTCAGTAGTCAGAAATGGTATGAAATGGTATAGCAACTCAACGGCCATGCAACAGGAACCGATTGATTGGAGCTACCTACCATTTTTTTGAGGCCTAAATTTCAGGGAAGATCCTCACAAAATATGGCCTGAAAAATGGTACGTTTACGGACCTACCATGTTTAGGATCCTGAAATTCCCAGCAACCAGCCCAATGATTTGGATTTCTTGGAGGATCATCCCCCTTTTTGCGGTGAAAATGTTGCGCTGCGACTTCGGCAAAAATCTACATTCATCAAGTTCAGGGGGTTGAATATGGGAATATCATGGAAAGATATGGATTACATGGAGATATGATATAATGAGATACTTATCATGGGATATATATCTAACATTATCTAACGAACATCTAACAGTGTAATTATGAAATAGTTGCTCTGAAACATGGGTGCCCAATTGTAGGTTGGAAAACAATGTTCCCTATAAAACGGCTTTTAAATTGCGGTATATTCCCCAAACCGTGTGGCCACACTGAGGAGTTCTTGTGGTGTCAAGGCCTGGTGTGAAAATTCGATGTGGTCTCAAACGTGCGCCACATTTTTGACGGCCCTTAAAGCACAAACGCAGAAGTCTCATCTTCCGTTTTTGACAGAAGTCTCGCACGAAATAGTGTCCCGGGAGACCTCGCGCAACCCTCTCGTCACTTTGCCGTTGCGGCGCGGTGCTCATTTTGAGATCGCTCGCGCAACCCTCTCGACATTTTGGGCGTGTCAGACCGCTCTCAATGTGGCGCGGTGCTCATTTTGCTACTCAAGGAGATCTTGTGCAGAGATCTTGGCAAGGATGGTTTCTTTGGAGAGCTTGCGCAGAGATCTTGCCACGGAGGCCTCTTATAAAGATCTTGTACAGAGACCCCTTAAAGAGATCTTGTACAGATATCTTGGTAAGAGGTCTCTTACAGAGGTATTGCCAACAGATCTCTTACAGAGATCTTGCCAAGAGAGCTCTTATAAAGATCTTGTGCAGAGATCTCTGACACAGATCTGGCCAAGAGACCTTTTCTAGGGAGCGTGTACCGAGATCTTGCCAAGAGGCCTCTTGTAAAGATCTTGTACAGAGACCTGGTGAAGAGAACAGAGACCTTGCGTGGAGATCTCCGAGAGAGCTTGAACAGAGATCTTACTTTGAGATTTTTACAGAGAGCTTTTGTGGAGATCTCTCATAGACACCTTGCACAGATAGCCATACAAAGGGATCTTGCACAGCAGTTTCTACACAGAACCTGTCACGAATATCTCTCACACGATCTTCTGCAGACATCTTCGCAAAGCGAACTTGCAGAATCTAACTTGGTATCTCAGTATCTCAGTATCTCTTCACGTTCTTTGCAATGTTTGGGGTCGCCGGGATATTCTCATTTTCAGAGCCATTTGAGTGCTTGAAATATGCTGCCAAAAATGAAGAAATTGATTGACCTAACCAGCAAGAAAATAACTTTGTGTTGTAGACTATCTAAGGTTGGCAATGTGGGATCATATTCTTGGTCATATCGAAGTACATGCCTGATAGGTTTTCACGGTTTTCTGTAAATATCCTATATTTTATTGTCCCATCCCCACCGCATATGTTAAATCAGCTATTTGAAACGTAAATATGACAAAAATAGGATGAACCCCGTTTCCCTGATTTACCAGCTATGGTGATTAGGAATTTAGCAGCTAGGAGTATCCAGATTCCCTATCAGACGGGTAGCTAAGGAGCTACTAAGGGTTTCCAACCATATGATAGCCTATATCTGGGGATGTGATCAATTATTATCATCTATTATCCAATTATCATCCCTAGTCTACCATATATATGATTTCCCTTGGTTTTTGCGTTTACCATCCCCAATGTGTGAAAATGTCCCTGCTTCCATTCCCAAGATTCACCCATCGCCCTCTTTATACATGTCACCTCACGAGGAAAGAGACTCTGCTGCGCGCTAGAGCTGCACCTCGTGCAGCCCTCGCAGGTCGGGCACAGGGAATGACGCGCGGGACGGGCTGGTGAAAGGTGGTTTTTACTGTTTCAAAAAGATCGGATTGTAATGGGATAACCCAAATATGGAGGTGTCGGGATATTCCAAATCATCCTAAATTAGACCATGGCTTAGTATTGAAACAACTATGGTGACTTGGGATCCCCCATTTTAAGAAACCCCCATATGTTGTTTAATCATTAAAATTACAAGAATTGTGATATAATGGTACAACCCCACAATAAATGGGAATAGAATGGGACGTAGGTGGGAACTGAATACCGCTTCAAGGATCATCACGCTTAGTAATTGGTTAATAAGGCTCCTTCATAAGTCCCAAAGTAGGTTATCCTATTTATAACTGGGTGGTTGAGCCGGCCCTACCCCTCTGAAAAATGATGGACGAATAGTAACAGTTGGGATGATGACATTCCCAACTGAATGGAAAAATGTTCCAAACTACCAACCAGTAATTTACTGCCATTCCATTCCATTATCCCATTTTATTACTGCGACGACGACTACCATAAGAAACCTTTGATATCGGAAGCAAAAGTGGGAACGGACGTCCCAGCAAATTTCAAACCCCCATAGATTCCATGTACCCATTGTCCCATTTAGTATTTGTGCGGTTAGTTTCACTACTACTACTACTACTACTACTACTACTACTACTACTACTACTACTACTACTACTACTACTACTACTACTACTACTACTACTACTACTACTACTACTACCGTATCTGATTTAGATCTTAAATATTAATATCTCGAGTTGATAAACATAGATAACCAGGGTGGTAAATAGGCCATCCAAAGAAAAAGGAGCAGATAGATAGATAAATAGATAGATAGATAGAGATAAAGCAGCCAACGCCATGCAGCAGCAGTCCGGAGATGGTGAGCAGGAAGGTGTTTCAGAGTGGTTTCAGACCTCTTTTGGGCTTGTTTTTCGGGTACCCCCAGCTTTGGGAGATGAAAAAGAAAGAGAAAAACCAGATTAAGCAGTGGACTGGGGTGAATCCTCCAGTAAAAGAATGTATGGAAAATCAACCCGTTGTGGAATTCTCTGTGGAAAGCAGTGGTTTAGCCAGTGCTTTTTCACAAAAAATAGTGCTACTTTGCTGGAGGCTATTCTGAAAGTATGCTCTATCATTTTTCATGTGGAAATAATGAAATGCTATCTAGCAAGCGATTTATGGCCGAAGAAAAATTCTCATGGATTGAACTGACTAAGTCTATAATTTGTTGCGACCCATTTGGTTGGCGCTCGCCCGGGTGGATTCACAGTGAATTGACGGTAACTTAGCACGACGTTTTCAACTTTTTGCTGCTGGTGGTTTGGAACCATGGAATTTTATGACTTTCCATATATTGGGAAGAATAATCCCAACTGACGAGCATTTTTTCAGAGGGGTAGGGTTCAACCACCAACCAGTTTTGTTATGAGACTCTTGAAGGCAAATGATGTTCCAATTCGCGCAATTTCATCGCTGCATTTGTCCAAATGTGGATTCAATCGTGTGGCTAGCATCTACATAAGAAATTTCATGTTTGATAAATTACTGGGTTTTCTCCAGTGTGCGTCTAATCCTTGCGAGTTAGATCTCAGCATAGCGCCTCTGGTTGGATTGATAGTGGAAGCCATGGCTGACAATCTCGCCGTCTTTCGAAGAAACCGGGTTCTTTGGTGTCGATGAGCTCCAGGAATTCAGTGACATGTTCAGTGCCAAGTTTCTTTACCGGATGGTTTTTGCAGTCCACGTCTTCAGTTTGTAGGCTCTCCATGGGTCTACAGCGTGTTTATTGGTCCGATCGTCCATTTAGGTTGCCAATGAAACCTCATAAAATCACTACTGTCCCATATGAAAATGGCCGTGTCTTCCGCGTGAAGTGCCTGCCACTGATGCTGACGCAATTCTCTTGATTGATTCAGAATCGGTAGAAACCGCTCTGATCAAGGGCCATTCAACGCGCGAGGATATGTCTGAGATCATTATCGTTTTCTGGGAGCAGGTTCTTAGCCTCCGCGTATGTTCATTGATCGTGTCTCCACCGACGCAAACCCTGCAGACTGGCCCTCTCGGACAAAAATGTGGATCGGTGAAGCAGCCGGTTGGTCAACTGTGGAAGCTGTGTGGCCGATGCTGAAGGATGTCTGAGGGCCTGGGTAAGTTTCACTTTGCACCTGCAGTGCCATTGTTCGACCACTTTTGCAGATCATTGTTGCCACGAGGTCATCACCAGTGTGGCGCATTTCCAGAGACTGATCCGTTTTCTGGCCGTATTTTTCGGGATGTAAAGACCAGCCCCCCCCCATTTCCCCCGGATCACGCCGGCAGGACTTGCCGCGGTGGCGTGCCGTTCTGCGTGCCGGCAGACTGCTCCTTGGCGATGGGATTTCGCCAACTACGGGAGGGGTGTAATTGGGGTTGTTACATGTTGTTGCTGTAATGGTTAATATGGGTTAAGAATGGTTTTCAATGGTTCTTCATGGTTATTCATGGGTATACTTTTGCGTATATTCATTATTTAAATTCAGCGGGAGCGATACCAGAGTTAGAAGGCGATTGATTAAAGATTGACTAACCATCATTACTAATGCACACTGTTGGTTACTGTTATTCATCCCATTCAAATAAGTCACCACACTTAATGATCGTGATCATACCAACCATCATCTGGCTGAATGATAACAACCTCACTGCGACATCACTGGAATGATGGTTGGATTGCAGGGAATCATCCCCAAATGGCCCAACATGCAGTTATTTTCAGATTTGTGTTTTTTTTAATTCAGCCAGATATGATCAGAATTCACTAACCTGAGAATTCTAAGTTCAGCTGAGTGAGTGTCTATATTTTCTACAATTCACCTGGAGAATTCGCAAAGCAACCCATTGTTGTTTGCTCCCAGGCCAAAAGGCATCAACGTCACCAGTGTAGGGCTGTGTTACCACGCTTCGAAGGTGGGATTTTGGGCTGTTTTTTGGCGAGCTCGGGATTCCACCTGCAAAAATCTAAAAAAATGGATGAATCCATGATTTTGTTCATTATCATAGATGGACTTTCAATGGGGATTCCAGGATTTTATGGGAAAACCATGGGAAAATGATGATTTATATATAGTAATAGATGGACTGGTTCGTGGCTTGGAACCATGGAATTTTATGACTTTCCATATATTGGGAAGAATAATCTCAACTGACGAACTCCATCATTTTTCAGAGGGGTAGGTATACCACCAACCAGATATCATAGCTGGAAAATTCAAGATTTTAACCAAAACATGATAACAAAATTTGCTAAGCAAAATTTGTTTTTCCAACCAGTTATCCAAAATTGCATCTGCAAGAAACATGTAGAAAAACACGTCCGATGCTTTGTGGATGGTGGTTGAGAAATCAGCCTCGATAGGGGATTTCGGCCACAGCAAAACTTGTCACAAAAAACTAGCAAACATGGAACAGATTGTTATCAAATATAGATATATGGAAAATCCATGGAAAATCCATGGAAAATATCAATATATATATAGAGAGAGAGAGAGAGTGATATTTTCCATGGCTTTTCCTTTGTAAGAATACCGAAAAAAACATAAAATCGCTATGTGGGATGTTCTTGAGGGATTGAGGGTATGCCTGACCCATGCTACCTCTGAGGGCGAAATAGTTAAACCAACAAGACGCGAGAGATCTCACTTGCACACCTGAGGACTGACAAATACTGATGGCATGCAACTCAGGAATCGTGGTCAGTTGTGCTTACCCTCTGGTAAACTAACATAACAATGGAAAATCACCATTTTTAATGGGTAAATCAACTATAAATGGTCATTTTCAATAGCTATGTTAAATTACCAGAGGGTAACTTGAAGCAGATAAATCCTTGGTAAATAGCCAACAGGGAGATTCCAACAACGACACCGCTAGTTGCGATGGTTGTTTTCACGTGGAGCAAACCACAAAAAAAGAGAATTCCATCAGCAAATCATAGATGTACCCCCTGGTAAATTGACATAGCTATGGAAAATCACCATTTTTCATGGGTAAATCAACTATTTCTATGGCTATTTTCAATAGCAAACTGTTAGTTTACCAGACGGTAAGGATAGAAATCAGCACAAGCAGAGGCGGGAATTTTCAGCACCGATCGAAGTGATGTCGGTGAGAATTCTGAGATGACGAATCAGAAGTACTATTAGTATATATTCCTATTTTATTCTATTATATACTATTAAATATTAATATAGTACTACTATTAAATTATATATTATAAATTCCTATTATTTTTAATTTTAAATGATTTTATATTATGGTATAGTATATTATCAAATTAGATTATCTAGCTATTGGTCAACAGACATTGATGTGGTGAAATCATTCTATTTTTTGCTTTGGAGGTGCTGGAGGTGCTTCCATCTCTGGCGACAGCATCGAAAAGAGACGTTGGACCATCCCTACAGCTCAAGCTGTTCACAGACATCAGCCTACTTAGCGAGCCCGACCATCTCGTGTACAGCCTCAGCATGATTTTCACTACTTTCATGGACCGGTTCAAGAAGTGGTTTCATGAGACAATCCTCCCACAAAATGACAGCTTGAGATGGATTGCAAACGACAAATTGCCTGCCCGTCTGGAACTTCGTGATTATTTCCATGCCTTTGAAACTGAAGAGAATCGCTCTGAGATGCTGGGGTATTTCATGTCTGTGATGCATATGCTTCACATCAGTGACATTGTGAGTGGCCAATACAACCAAGCTCAGATGAAGCGCAGACTACCTCCCTTTTAGGATCCTGAATTCCCATTGGGGAGAGGTTAAGTCATCTCCCGCTTCGCCAGGCCTTTCCTCCTTGGACCCGGTCCATGTCACCGAGACCCACCGGGAGCCGCCTTCGCCGCACGGCGCGCCGCTGTCCGTGACGCCGGAGCCGGAGCTGGCGGCAGTGGTGCGGCAGCTCTATGCCAGTGGCTTGGAGCCAGCAGTCATAAAATACTGGTTGGTGGTTTGGAACATGTTTTTCCATATATTGGGAAGAATAATCCCAACTGACTAATATAAGAGAAATCCATCAGCAAATCATAGGTGTACCCTCTGGTAATTTGCTACATAGCTATTGAAAATGGACATTTATAGTGAGTTTTCCCATTAATGGCATGGTGATTTTCCATAGTTATGTTAGTTTACCAGAGGGTATATGGAAAAATGATGGTTTAACGGTTTAACCATCAACAATAGGGATTTTCGATGGGCTTTTTTAATTGGCGTTTAATGGGATATACCAAAAAAAAAGTGAGTTACAGCAATTATAGTGGACTATAATGGGGCATTGATATTTCCATAAAATATTTTTTTTTGGTTGGTGTGAAAATGGTGTAGAGCACCAAATGGTACTTTATAGATAGGAAAAATGATGGTTAACCAATGGAAATTTCAGGATCCTAAAATGGAGGTACTGTACCATATAAGGGCATATTTTGTGGGGATATTCCCTTACATAGGCCTTATATAGGCCTTATATATGGTAGGTACCTCCATTTTAGGATCCTGAAATTCCCATTAAGTTAACCAATGGATTTAGAGGTACCATATAAAGGTCAGCCGTCCACAATAGGGTACCATATAAGATGGGGATATATAAACCATCCCTGATGATCCTTCATTTGCTCAGTTGTTGGTATATCCACTATTTATGCCATCTATGATAGGGAATACATCATATGTTTTGGATTATCTTAAGCAAACATCAATTCTGGTTATTAGTGGGCATAAACTATGGGAGTCTAACCTCCAGTTGGGGATATAACCCCTATAAGTATGGCTACATAACACACTCATTAGTGGAACTGCACACCCAAGTATGAGTCTTCACCATCCAAACTAGGATATAAGATGACTGGTTGGTGGTTTGGAACATGAATTTTTCATTTTTCCATTTCATATATGGCATAATCATCCCTTAACTGACGAACTCCATCATTTTTCAGAGGGGTAGGCTCAACCACCAACCAGATGATATAACCAGCAATAAATGGCCAGTTTTGATGTGCTTGGGATTTTGGGGATCTAAGGACCGAGATATCTTGGATCTTAGCCCTTGATTTTCGGGGATAATCGGACTTGATGAGTCATTAGCTCCGGGATGTCATTAGCTGATGTCCCTAGAACGTTGGCTTAGATCAATGGAAAATTTGGCTGAAATTTACTTATGAGATTTTGTAGGGATCGGATGTAATGAGGGAGTTTCCCAGAAATGCTGCAATTGGGTTGTAATAGTGGTTTCACCAACCATTGAGATATAGTGGGCATAGTGCAAATATAATGGGGATGTACCCAGGATATATATATATACATATATATACAGTAAGGGATTCGGGATCATGGGGATATATTAGGTCTTAACCATGAAAAATGTGGGATTTTCATCGAACTTAACCATGAATTATAGCTGATGTCACTAATATCAATTTGAGTGAGAATTGGATGGTCTTTTTGGGACCAACCAGCAAAAACGGTTGGATAGTGATGCATGTTTTTCCATGGGACCTCCACCCTTCACCTGCACATCGAACGGCCGCGGGTTCCCACGGCTGCAGGTTTCAACCAATGCGATGCACATCGAACGGCCGCATGCTTCACAGAGGACGCTTGGAGGGTTGGGAGTGGCCAGTGGGTATCATTTTTCTCCTTAAATCCCATCAACTCCTCATTCTCTCCCCATAAAAAATGGCCTTGTCTGATAGGCTACCCCAAATTTCAATGGTTCATCATAGACCCCGAATGGCTATGAAGGTAAGGTATACCCCATGTCCTCGGAGATCCCCATGGCGCGTCGAGTGAGGCGTTCTGATCATCGGGGTTATCCCAGTAACCTCTGGTGAACTATTGAAAATGGGCAATTTATACATGATTTACCTATTGAAGATGGTGATTTTCCAGTTCGCTACGTTAGATTACCAGAGCACTTACTAAGTTCTCAGCCCGGTCGTGTGCTGTGCCCGGTGCAACTTTGTCCAAGATGGTTTCGTCGAAATGCCCGATACATGTGGAGGGAACACGGCTAAAAGAAAGAGCCAATCTGCACCCCATCACAGGTAGATGAGTAGGTGACAACCCGAAGTAGAAATGTCATGGTTTCTCTGGTGATTTCTCGGGGGGATGGATTGCTAGGTGCCGAACTTCACCTATTTCCCCAGCTGATTGGCATCTCCATGCAGGATGTGGTCTACGAAGACTTGCTGTTGGGCAATTCCACCATTGTTGCAGCCTCAGGAATCATTGGAAGTCGTGTCCCAGGTCAGAACCATGTGTAATTAAGTGGAGAGTGAATGGTTTGTATATGATCCGGAGCAATTGATTTTGCTGTTGACCGAAGTGCCCGGTCTTGTTGCTGGTCCTGCATGGTGGCGTTGCAGCCGGAGATCATGGTGAAGGACGGCTTGCATAGTGCCAAGATGGCCGAATTGGAGAAGCGTCTTAAGTTTGGGCGCAAGCGCTTCCTCGAATGCTAGTGTGTGTGTTTAAATCTTAAAGAGGACACATTGTTCTACAGTTCTACCTAGATGTTTTGGTGCCGACCTGGATGAAATTCAGAAACTTAGACATGCCTCGACCCTTGGCCATCTTGGCCATGCAAATTCCACATGGGAGACGGGTCTTATTCAGGTTCCCACCAGCAACAAACCTTCGAGAATTGGACAATACTGGATCAATCCAGATTCATGGACATCTTCATGCAAAAATACCATAAAATACCATAATACCATAAAATACCATAAAATACCCACGTTTGTTGGTTGATATCATAGCTCTTTTTGATTACATAAATCCTCTTGTTATCTTGTTTGAACATACATTTCCCTGATCAAATGTTGTGTTGGTTTGATAATAGGAAATAGTTTTGGAGGCTGAGAAAAATTACAGGGAACCCTTAAAAATGCTGGTATTAACCTTGGTTTCCGGCGAAGATTTTTCCAACCAAACCCAGTTCATAAACCCAGACATATCTCATCATAGCGTCAAGGCGTCAAGGCGTTTGCTACAGGTGCACCTTTGGTTGTTTCATATATCTGGGTAACAATGGTTAGTCAGGGGAATCATCCCCAAATGGCCGAACTATTCAGGTTAGTGAAATATTATAATTTACCCAGATATATAATTAGGTTCAAAGACTCAATTCCTACTTGCCATTGAGCAATAGAAAGACTGTCAAAAGCATGAAACCTTGTGGGCATAGAGGATTTTGTAGATTCCTTTCAAGACTCGATAGATTCGATTGTGTGATAAACTTCCCGATTTGGTTGATTAAGAAAGTTTAAAATCCCACTTCTTTGCATGTAAGCCCACACGATTGATATTCAAATGTATTTTGACTGCCCCATTCCATTGGGCGAATCCTTATTTGTGCGGGCTAATACTCTAGCATGTGCAGGATTTTCTATGTCTTCAAATCAGAATTGTTCTAAAAATCTCAATGTTTGTTTGCTCAATTCCCCATCCTTTTTTTCCGTGAAATCCCCCTTGTTGATGGTAAAGTCGCATTTGGGTGTGCTGAATATTCCCACATCTCACCAAAATTCAACTCTCTCTTCACCAAATCCCAATTGTTTATGGTAGAGTCCCAATGTTTCAAGATAAAATCATGGGGGAAAAAACATCGAAAAAAAAAACACATCTGTAACGGTAAGCCTCCAATCTTGGTAGAATTCTGCCATTTTTTCCATCCAAAAATTTGAAAAAAAACATGATCATCCAAAAATCCCATCAGAAAAATTGATGAACAAATCCCATCAATCTTTCTCCGCTTAAGGTGCAGTCAAGAGCCGAGTTTTTGGAACTGATCCGTACCCATCCCGTCTTCGTGAGCGCACGCGCCTGCGGGATGTTGGGTTTGTGCCTTGGCTTTGTGGAGAGGGTGGAAATTTATGAATATTAAGGGGGAATGTCATGGGATATATAATGGAATCTATACAGGATGATGCCCCTCAAGATGGCTTATCTAAATATAGCTATAAGATGCTATAAGTATCATACACAATTGTTATTATAGTTATAAACCAACTTAGCTAACTATGGGCCCAATCCTGTAGTCAAGTATAATCAAAAGTTGAATGGGTTGAGAATATGTTTGTTTTTCTGAAATTTGAGGGATTTACCCTCAGGATACGGCCATTTGAACCAGCAAAGTTAGGGGTGGGGAAGTTTCACTGTCCATGGCGACCCAAGCTGGCAGGATGCCACAACTGGGATGGTGGTGACGGCGTCGAAGTTCTTGGCAAACACAGAAACGCCGGCTTCACGTCGGACGGAAAGCCAAGGGCCATGTCCGACTTGACCTACAGAAGTCCGGCACGTCTTGGGAGGTTATCGACACCTTGGCCAACCTTGACTCGGGCGCCACTGATTTTCTGAGGTGGTTGGGCTCTGCACGCTGGGTGAGATCACCTCAGATGCGCTGTCAATGGACGCGGACCCACGCTTGGCCATCACGATCCCAGCATCCACAGGCGGAAACATGAGCACGGCCGAGCTCCCACTCGCGGTGCAATCCGACTCACTTGAGGATTGGTGCGCGTGTGCTGCCTTGGGCATCAAGGTGGTGACTTAGCCTGACTTCAAGGAAATTGGTGGGGCGCTCTCCCATCATGTTCAAACAAAACCATATCTTTTGACCATGGCACACACGGGAATTGGGATTGATCCCGTGGATAGTGATGAAAAAATCGGGATTTTCGTATCAACTATGGGTTTGAACCTGCCCAAAAAGTGGAAATACGTGATATCTGAAACTCTGGATGTGCGAATGTGCAGGGCTTGGATATGAGGGTAGAATCCAGGAATGATTACCCCATGATTTGATGGGGATTGAATAGGGATTTTTTCTAGTGATGGAATCGGGTAGATTCCGATCTACCCAGTGAAATTGGTGATGTTATGGATTTAACCCTCTGGTGCTATCAAAAGTGGCTCGAAAATCTGCGAAGTAAATGGATGTTTTTGAGCGAAAATCATGGATCAATTGCTGGTTCTCCAGCCATGTTTGATTAGCGGAGGAATCCATCAACGATAGGTCCAATAGGTGGTTGGTTCCAATGTTTAGACATGATCATTGACGTGGACAGAAGTCCTGGGATGATGAACTGATGAAAAACATATGGGAAGCCAGCCTCTTTCACCAAGCAGTTGGGGATGAGAGGGGCCACTGCTGTGGGTTTGATCTAGGGTCAGAATCAAAAGACCCTCGACAAGACTCGGAAAATTCGAGGATCTTTAGATCACTGAAGTACCCTCAGGTAATTTATTCCATAGCTATTGAAAATGGTGATTTATAGTGGATTTACCCATTGAACATGGTGATTTTCCATAGTTATGTTAGTTTACCATGGGTATCCATATTCTGATGGTACTAAGCTGCTGGCACAGACCTACATAATCATAATCTGATGACTTTCCACGAAGCGGATGTGACCGAGAAACAGGGGCATTCAACAGCAAGATCACGATTTAGCCAAACGTTTGTATTGATCCAAGCAAGAAGTGGCTTTCACCAAGAAACATGGGAGGTCCAATTAGACAACATATTCTATTTGTATAACGCCATTGATCATGTGCCCAGATAAATTGGTGGATTGGATCAAGGACCGTGTGGACTCAGCAAAGATGTGGATTTGCATTGCTAAAACCAACTGGTTGGTGGTTTCAAACATTTTTTATTTTCCACAAAAAATGGGATAATCCTTCCCATTGACGAAGTCATATTTTTCAAGATGGTTAAAACCACCAACAAACCAAGAAACATGGGGATATACCAAACAGACATGCCCATGAGAATTTGAGAAACCATGCCCATTGAGTTTACCAAGCATGGGACTCAAATATGAAACTATCCCAGCCATCTCCATGCCTTGCAGTTTATGGTCATGTCCTCTAACGCCCCATAATATCAAACACCCACTAGATCACTAAATGGTCTCAAATTCGTGTGTGTGTGTATGTTTGATCTTAGCGGGAAGGGATTGCTTGCGTTCATTTTTTTCCTAATTTGACGATTGAAATGAGATTCAAGAAATAAAATGCTGCATAAAATAGAGCTTGCGGGCCTCTTCAGCACCTATGTTCATCAAAATGTTTTTCTTCGAAAGTGGGGGGCACTCTCAAAATCCATTGCTTTATCACGTTATCATCATTTTCCCTGTTAGAATTGCCATTCTGAAACTTTACCCCATTTTCAGACATGCCCAAATGCCTAGAATTGTTTGATCATTGCGATATAACCCATTATATATATTCTCATAAAACCCCATGAAAATCCGCTGAAAACCTGATTGGATTGCCTAGGCCACCACTGGATATCAAAGTGGAGGTGGATAACATCTCTGAGGACCGTCCGCGGCCGTTACCAAAGAGGTTTTTGTGTCTGGTGGGGTTGATATACCAAGAACCTGAGTTTCTTTAAGGTGATTTAGCCTATTTTCCCAACGATCCAATGGAACACCAACCATTTGGGAATATAGTTTTTCCATGTTTTTCCCGAATGCGTGGCAAGGGTTCCCGTTTCCCTCTGGGGGTTTGGCGGTTGAGGGTGTGTTCGCTCGACGTTGCGTTTGCGTCCGCAACCGTTCGCAAAGCAACTTGCAAGTTCTGCAAAAGCGGTCACTTTTGAAGGTTTCAAACGTCGCGTAACCTCGTTTCGTGTGGCAGGCGTGGCACTTTGTGACATTCCGACTTGTTTCATCACGTGTCAAGAGGTCGTTCTGTGTGACAGGCGCAATACTTTTGCGTCGTTTTCAGAAGATGACTTCCTTTTTCGTGGCAGGCGCAGCACTTTAGACGTGCCGTGTCGCGTGTTTTTGCGAATCGAATTGTCAAGGCTGCGTCAAGTGGTGCCAACGTGCACACTGCGTGGCAGGTGTGGGACATCGTGAGAGTGTCGTTTTGCGTGGCAGGCGGCGCAGCATTTGAGGAAGATCCGGCGCTCCACACTCTACGCTTCACACTTTACACTTTAACCGTACATGTTTCCCAGTGGTTCATATGTGTGTCATTTTTTGTTGAGATATCTTCCCAACATGGCATGTCGACAACAAGCGCTGCAACATCCATGATGGCTTTCTCTTTATCTGTTTCGACTACTGTACCATTAACATGAGTGTGAGCATTCTGGTTTATGGGTTCATTGGGAGGCCAACTGTCTTGACTGACTCCAGGGCTCTTTCTGCTATCCTGAGATCGATCTGGATCTGGGTCTTTATGGAGATGACAGCCTCAGGCATGGAGTTGGCGAGAAATTTGGAAATCCTGCGGTCGAAGCGCGGGAAGGCAGATGATGCTTCGGGGGCCCTTCTCATGAGCCCTGCACGAGAATCCCTCAGTGGTTGGTCGCCAGAGGCGCTGCGGTAACTGGAAGGTCTATTCCGCAATACGACTCAGGCCCTATCTGAATCTGATCATTCCGAAGATCAAAATTTCTCAGGAAGAACGATGGAATCTTTCCCTGCCCGAAGAGGTACGGTGGCCATTTTGGAGGCGATCCACAGAAGACTGCCTTTCTCGACGCAAAAAACTCTCGAGACATACTGAAAGCGCCACCAATGGGTGATTTGATCGTACCTGGAATTCTGAGCAAGTTGATGATGAGAGTCACACACTCGCGTTTTTTTTCACAGTGGCTCCAGTGGTCTTTGCTGCTCCGAAAACGATGGAGGTCAACTGGGATTCTATCTTTTCATTGACAGAGGGATCAGCAAATTTTCCCGGCGGTTAATCTTTCAATGAGAACAGTGATAGTTCGCAAACTCTTCTGTCCCCCTCCTTGGCTTCTTGTTTGGGACCATCAGCTGGTCATGAATGATGGTCTAAAGGCGACGGTTATTAATGGTTGAATCCCAAACGTTGTTGATTCCTATTTTCAATTAATGAATTCACATGTTGTCTTGGGATTCAATGTAAATTCTCCAAACATTGCATACAACATGATACACCTAAGAAGAGAGAGGGTTGATGAGCATGTCGTAAGTCGATTTGAATCGTACATGTTCATATTTGGTGTGCAAGTACCCCCCGGAAATAAAACATTGGCAATGGGTTCTTCCCAATTTATAGATGATGTTCCCAGCTATAAACCTCCATTTAGTTCGGGAATTTCCCAGCTAGCCACATTGCTACGCTTGACACCAGAGGGTATCCTCAAAGTTTTGGAGTTGATGATTTTTTCTGCAACGTTCGCAGCCATCTGCTCGGCAGGATATCAAGAGATCTACAGTTGGAGTGGAATGGCACGTGGAGGCCGGGGAAGAACTCGAGAATCGAGAGCTCCGAAGCATCGCAAGCATTCGCAAGCCCCCAAAACGATGACAAAAAATGTGAAACCGCGATGTGAACTAGATGATGTTTACCAAAATATATTTCCCACTTTCATCTGCTATGGGGTTAGTGTGATGTCAATATCTATGTAATATATGAGCACAACATCAAAATTAAAAACAAATGGAATTTTACAGAGAATGCGTGCTCAGTTATGAGTGAAATCAAGTTGACCTCCTCGGTTGCTGCTTGCATGAGAGTACGCCAACAGAAAAATTGGGGTTGAATCCTGATGAGTTCTCTGGGATGTCATCCGATTCCCATGTGCAAAGTCTACATCAGCACAGGTGGTGATAGAAACATATTGTTGTCACACATTATTATTGCAATCTATTTTTTTAGACTGCAGGCACCCTGCTCCCTGTTGCTAGCCGCATCTAGCCGCTCTATCAGAGAAAAGAAACGGTGGATCGAAAACCAATTTGGGTGGGCAGCACCATTCTGCGCTCACATAGTTGGTTCAAGCCAAGTCGGATGAGTTTTATCCCCAGAAGTGCACTTGCTTCCATGGTGTGCCTTCCCAAGGGAGGGACATAGGAAACTGTGTGCAAATCCAGGCAAAGAAGCCTTCAAATAGGGCTACAATATGCCGCTTCAAAACGTTTTGTAAATGGAATGAAATGGATATATTTATGATTATTTATGTGCCTGGTATTTTTCAAAAACCTGATTCATCCCACGAGAACAAATGATGACCCCAACTCCCCTTCCCCTGCGAATTCGTACCGTAAAACTTGTGGGTTTACGCTGTACGCTCCCACGTGGGACGATTTACCCCCAAATGCTTGCGATTGAAATCATTGGTGTTTAGGGCTCATCCGCCAAGTGACGGGTCACAACAAAAGTTACTATTACCAGTTACCAAAATTACCATCATTCAACTAATCAACTACTACCAGTTCGTGTTCTTGTCACACACCAAAAAGATCCAAAAGCCATTCCAAAGGTTCCAAAGGTTCAGTTTACAGTACCACTCTATTTGACGATTTTGCTCAGATTTTACCCGGTATTTTGTGCCCCTGGCACAGGTTGGAGGGCAGCCCTTAGTGCTGGGCAGAGGTCAGAGTTTTATGAAGATCGATCCCGAAACAGGTCCGAGAAATCACGGAAATCGCTGCCGTTCCAAATCGCGAGTTACGTTGGTTTAATGGAGATTCAACCAACAGAAATAGTGGTAGAAACTATGGGGATATTTTACTGGGATAGTTATCAAGCCAACTAGAAGGTATGTTTAGTTATGTGTAAATGACACTAGCAGTCACTAGCATCACACTATGACACTATCCATATTATTGTTTAGTGATGTGTAAATGCTGGCGGCACGAGAACTCAGTAGAGTCTTTGTAGAGCTTCTGGCGTAGAGTCCCCGTAGAGTTGATCCTAACCATACCCATCTTGGCCTTTGGCCTTTTTGGCACCTGGCTCTACAATCTTCATGACTGACATCCCGCTGAACCAGTTCACGGTCCAGGTCCAATTTTGCCTCGACCCTGAGCACACCACATGGTGTGTTGAGGACTTGTTAGCTATTTTTGATCTGGAACAGACTGAGTGTGAGATCAACGATGTAGTATATCCAATGCGAATGGGGCCGAATTACATGCTTCCTCCAGCTTTGGAGGCGATGGACACGTACTGGAGTGCCTGGGACGAGGAGTTGGACGAGAACCATCGCGTCCACTTCGCTATCCTTGACATCCCTCTTTTTCGCTCCATGCTGGAGCACCGAGTTCGTGGATCTGGTCGGGCGTATACGCACTCTCGGCGCCAGAAGAACTGCATCAGTTGTAGACCCAGCTCCGTGAAACTCATTAAGCTTGACGAATTCTTGGTTGATATGGAGGTTTCCTAAAATGATGGTACCTCTGTTCTCATCCATTTATAGATGGATTTTCCATTACAAACCATCCATTTTAGGCTGCCCCCATTTTAGGAATCCTCCATATCAGCACACTTGAAACGAGATGCAAAGTCTTCAACTTTGCTTGCTGCGCAAGCTGAACGCGCACCGTGCCTGCACGTCGATTTTTCAATGGATAATACCTTCTGACTTCGGGTTTGTTCCAATGGAACCTGTACAATTGAGCAGTGGCCGTGATCCACCCCTGTTGGTTGATGATTAGTTTGGGGATTAGACTACCATGGATATATTGGGGATTACAATAATTAATCCAAGAACGGGAAATCCCTATAAACCAACCACTATAATGGAATGCTGGAGGGATTTTGAACACTGCTCAATTCACTCCAAACATATGGCAAAGATGGCACTGGTGGCAAAAGATTGCATATATATATATATATGATATATGCATATATGTAATATTAATGTATATCCAACTGAATGTCCCAATGTCATGTATATCCTATATCAAAATATCCCATAAAGAAACACCAATCCAAATCAGGGAACCACCGCCACAGCCAATATGTACCGTTCTAGTGGATTACATTCCGAATTTCAATGAATTATGAATGGGTTTTCCCCTATATATTCAATGACAGTCATTGGGGAAACCACGAAATTGGGAATTTCATGACCATATCCCATTATACATATATACATATATATATATATATGTATATATATATATGTATATATATATATGTATATAGATGTATATATATATGTATATATATGTATATATATATATGTATATATATATATGTATATGTATATATATGTATATATATATGTATATGTATATATATATACATGTATGTATATATATATATATATGTACATATATATGTATTTATATATATGTATATATATATATGTATATATATATATATATTGATGTATATATATATATATTGATGTATATATATATTCCTATAAACATCCATGATCATCCATGTTTTTTTAATCGGGATTTTCCATGTCAAATCAACCATCCAGAGCGAGCTTGGGGTACCCATATCCGCCAGGTTTGATTGCGAAGGCCACGGACATCGCCGAAGCACCCTGGCGCGCCATCGGCTTGGTCCTGTCGCCCTTTGCGTTGCTCGGTGGATACGATGGTGATCCATGGTGATCCGAGAACTTGTTCTGTGTCAACACGACAGGATGGGCCCCCCCAATGATGTGAATGTTGGTTCAAAAGTCTGGACGAAGGGTTTTCTACCTTCTCAATGGTATGTGCCTGTCTCAACCCTCCTCCCTGTATCAAAGGTGCTTTCTTTTTCCCCTCCTCAAAGGTCCTGGTTTCCCAACCGTATTCCCGGAAAATTTTCCCATGTTCGAAGGATTTCTCAAGGCCAAGTGTTTTCCCACAGTGAAGGTTCGCGCTCAAGGCTGCCAAAAAAAATAATAATAAATAAAATCCCGGAGACAAACCCATACCCCGGGGAAGAACACTTGCGACCGAACATTGCAAATATGCATAAAACATGCTATGTGTTTTTCTCAATGGTATGTGCCCGTCTTAATTTTTTTTTTAATTTTATTTTTATTTTTTCTCCCCGGAGGTCCCGGAGAGGAACCCTTGGAATTTCTTCCCCCGGAGGTCCCGTAGAGGAACCCCTGAAACCCTTTTGCTCGTTTTGTTCTCTGTGTCGTCTTTCGTCGTCCGTCGTGTTTCAATGGGGATCCTTGAGACAGACACTTGACCTGAGCAAGACCACAAACGAGAAAGTACCTTGGCGCAGACCTTCGATTGGTTTATATACCATTATAAGCCCCATTAACTATAGTTATATCATGTATCTACCATAAACCAGAGTTAAGCCACTTATATCTCAACTTAGCTATCTTGGGGGCCGCATCCTGTATGGTAAAGTGATAACTTAAAGGTTGTAGTGATGATGTAGTAGCATCAGAAGATGATGTAGTAACGTAGTAAGAACTTGTAGTATGTTGTAGGTATCATCAGAGTTCATTGTTCAGTTGTTCTACATGTTGCTGTCATAATACATGTTCTGGTATTCAGTATACAGTAAGTTGTTGTATGATGATAATTATATATAGATTGTGTATCATAGACAGTTGTCGGGCGCAACGGTCCTACAATCGGGATGTCGGTTGAGATGTAAGACTTTCATGTGCAGCAAAAAAAAACGGGAATTAGACCAAGAAGCATGGGTTTGCGCACAAATGTGGAGCATACCCAAAGATATGGCCATCAAATAATGAGGAAAGTGATGATGTACCATTGGGTGTTCAGACAACTCATATCACTATAATTATGAATTACAACTTGTAAAATGCTATAATTTGATTATGAGTTGTAAGTCAGGGATAGTTCTAGGTTGTAACCCCCTTTCACCAAGGGGGGTATACTACCAGGAGATGGGCAATGTCCAAAGCATTTACTTCGGAGACGTGGGTCCACAAGAGCTGAAGGTTGCTCACTTTTTGGGCGTTCCAGGTGTTTTTTGTCTCAATGCTTGGGGTTGCAGTTCCACTAATAAGCTGGTTATATAGTCATAATTGTAGGGTTTATATCCCAACTGAGGTTTAAATATCATAGTTATAATAGAGAAACATTTCACCCCAACTGCCCAATCTACAAATATCCCAAGGTTCAGAGAGTTTTTTAATCAGTCTTTATTTCAAAGTCCCTTTGGATCGTATGATTAATTTGGACCTCAATGATGTGGTTTTCATCCGTGGAACTCAAGATTTTAAATCGAAATGTGGGGTACCCTTTGGTAAATGAAGAGTTTGGAGAATACCCTCCGGTACACATACAAAAAGCTATGGAAACACACAATTTTTATGGGATTTTTCCACGATTTCTATGGTCATTTCCAATAGTAAAATTGCATCAAAAATTCCTGGGAAGTTCACATGGACCCACTTCATGGGGACAACGGTCTCCACTGAGGCGTGGTATTCGAGAGCTCTCGCGCTTGCTGCGGGACTGGAGTTTTTCTTCGGTTGGCAGACCCAAGATAGCCCCAGTTGGGGATACTTGGTGATTAGGAGGGAGCTACAGGATGGGGCCCCATAGTTAGCTAAGTTGATTTATAACTACAAAAACAAGTTGGTGTATGATACAAAAATAAGTATATTTAGATGGGGTTTTAAACCAACTTATAACTGAAGGGCCCCATCCTGTAGGGAGCTAGGAGTATCCGTATTCCCTATCAAATGGGGAGCTAAGGAGCTATACTAAGGGTTTTCCAACCACGTGATAGGATATCATGGGAATTCACCAACCTTTGGGTCCCCATTCTTGGGCTTCAATGAGGTAACCAACTAGAATCGTACAGTTTAACCAACTAGACTGTTTTTTTATTGGGATTAATGTGATATATGGATATATGATGATCATCATATATCCGCATATCACATTAATATCCATATGATAGATCTATCATCATACATATACCCATATGGAGGTTCCTAAAATAGGGCTACTCCCAGTTCTCATCCATGTTATTTTCGACGAGATAAACCATCCAGCGAGCTTGGGGTACCTCCATTTATGGAAATCCCAATATCATCTATGAATATACTCTCTGGTAAACTAACATAGATATGGAAAATCACTTAAAATCAATCTTTAATAGCCAAAATCAACTATAGATTAATGGACCGTGTCCAATGGTCCAAGAACTATGTAACAAATTACCAGAGGGTATGGTTAGCCTTCTTTGGGCCATGGTCCTTGGGCGAACTGCTCCGCTCTAGCCAAGAGCATCCAAGAGCAATACATACATACATATCTATACATATACATATGTATACAGTATACATATATATAATATATATATACACATATACATATACATATACATATATATATATGTGATTATATATATATATACATGTATGTGCGATTATATATGTATAAATATGGTGGTTTCCTAAAATTGGGTACCCCCAAA